AGGGCCCAAGGGCCCTCTTGTTTCATAAAGAACTTTTTTTCGGGCTCTTAAATTTGTGGACAGTCTTTTTTTCTAAAATTTAAATAATGTAATGCAGATTAATGTTACAGCAGACAAAATGAAATGATCATAACTTCATGGACTGACCTATTTATGAAAACCACGAACATTAGTGCCTAAGGAATAATAAGGATTTTGCAGTATTATAAACAAGCCTGCTTAGTTTCAACAGCATTAAGACAATGCTTTAGGTAGCAATATTGTTTGAAACAAAAGTTGACAAAGCACAAATCGCTTGGGACAAAGGACACAACTCGGTCTCGATATCTCACCATCAGAATGTTGTGCTCAGTTGAACTAAAATTTAAAGTAATAAAGCAAGCTGTTGCCATTGAAAATTTATTATTTCTATTAATTTAACAAATTACAATTTAAACAAATATGCTAAAGTTGCACTGTGATTCTAACATGCCTGTGTTTCTTAACAATAAGACTGAAATTTTTGCAACAATTTGCAGGCACAACGTTTTAAGATATATACAAGTATGATTACTTAATAAATAAATATAATATACAATCTATATTAAAAGATTAACATTGTCGATCAGGATCTATAAATCACTTATCCTAAACCAGGTCAGGTTCAAACCTTTATCTTCAATTGCAATATTCAGGACTATCAAGTTATTTTTTTATATAGTATTTCTGTAAAGATCACAGGGTTATAGCCCCTGCTAAAATGCCACCATTGAAAAATTGCAATACATGTAAAGTGAAGGATAGAATTGTGGAAAAAAACTCAGAAAAACAGATTTAAAATAAAATAAACTAGAACTCCGCGAGTCGGATGTGTCGCCTTGTGAACAATGTAGTTTGGAGAAATGGCCAGGACAAAAATGAAATTTGAAAACCAACAAAGGGCAATAACTCAAAAAATAAGAAATGCAGAGCAGCAGTTTCTGTGCACGGCACTTCCTATCAATAACATCTATCATCCTATTAAGTTTCATATCTAAAGCTTTTATAATTATTGAGAAATGGCCTGGACAAAAATAAAGTAAGAAAATAAACAAAGGACAATAACTCAAAAAATAAGAAATGCAGAGTACCTGTTCTTGGGAACTGCACTTCTTCTTAATGAGATCTATCATCCTATGAAGTTTCAAGTCCATAGCTTTTTTACTTTAGGAGAAATGGCCTGTACAAAAATAAAGTATGAAAATTAACAAAGGGCAATAACTCAAAAAATAAGAAATGCAGATGGCCAGTTCTTGTGCACTGCACTTCTTCTTAATGAGATCTATCATCCTATGAAGTTTCAAGTCCATAGCTTTTATACTTTAGGAGAAATGGTCCGGACAAAAATTAAGTATGAAAATTAACAAAGGGCAATAACTCAAAAAATAAGAAATGCAGAGTACCAGTTCTTGTGCACTTCACTTCTTCTTAATAAGAACTATCATCCTATGAAGTTTCAAGTCCATAGCTTATATATTTTAGGAGTAATGGCCCGGACAAAAATGAAGTATGAAATTTAACAAAGGGCAATAACTCCAAAAATAGGAAGTGCAGAGTACCGGTTCTTATGCACTGCACTTCCAGTCATTATAAGAAGCATGCATACCAAGTTTGAAGTCAATCCAACTTATAATCACTGACTTATGCTCCGGACAAGCTTAAGGGGACGCCGACGCCGACAACGACGCCGCCGACAAAAGTAATCCCTATATGTCGCCTTTTTCAAGGCGACACAATAAAACTATTAAGCTCAAAGCCAATTGTAAAGTCTTTTCAGTAAAATTGCACTCAAAACAAAATGATGTGATAGCACTTAAAGTTATATGTATGACATAATAGTTTACAAAACTAGGTCTTGTACAGCTGTATACTAGTCCAATAAAATTCAGTATTGTCCTCGACAATGTATAATCTACCACAACAGTATAAGTCTTCTATTTCAATTAAAATGGTATCATTTGCATAACATATATATACATGTATATTATGTACATTAAATGATGATTATTATACTTTTAAAGGAATTCCACTGAGGTCCTAAAGCTTAAAAACATAAAATTTGAATTTCCTTCATAGATCAGCTGGGGCACTTAAAATAGAAACATATGCGAAAGATAATAAAGGAATATACTCTGGTTCAATTGAAAATCGTATTATTGCGCTATTCTTTGGTCATTTTACACAATAAGAATATTTTTTCTCAAAAAATGGAGTGAACAAACAATCAGAAATTTTCACACACTTTATTGGTCTATATCTGCATCAATTTGAGCATTTATCTCGAAAAAATTATTTCTAGTTCCATCATATATATTTTTATTAAAGCTCAGTGAAGTCCCTTTAATATACACAATATATTTGTTTATCAACCCCTTGTAAAACCAACACCTGAGTTTAAATATCATACTAGTACATGTTCAATACTTCCTGAATAAATACTTAAGTTATAAAAACTTTTCTTTAGTTTACATTTATTTTATACATCCTTCCTTTAACACAAATGGTTTACGGCTGCAGTTAATTAATGTACCTCGTATCATTAATATGTTCTCATTACTCAAATTCCCCTCCTGTCTTGAAAATTCCCCAAACATATCAATCCCTACCCTACTGGTCTCAATAGTGGCCTTTGCCATCAGTTTAAAGCAGGATTTACATTATTAACAGATTTGCGATCCATATAATCAGTTAAAATGCGGTTAAATCAGTTTTATTTTTAGTATATAGATTAAAATATCCCCCTTGACCACAGCCAAATCAATTGTTTTAGTTCGCTCATCCGTTGCATCAGATAAAATTGAAAACCCTGATAGAGTCAGGCCTGCCTGTACATCAGTGTAGTCTTCTAGGCTTCATACTGTGGATACCTTAACTTTTGGTATTATGAGCCTGAAATCCCTTTAGCTTTGAATGGACTGTTCAAATTCATCGCATAAATTTAAACAGGTAAGTAGTAAAATAAATATAACACATATGAACAACTTCCTTGTTTTTGTTATACAATATGATAATGTAAAATTGTAACAATTACCTTCTTGGAAAGGGGTACTTGACCTATTTGGCATTGAAAATGACTTTGAATATAAGTAGTTCAACTGTTAATAGTTTCAATATATCTACAGTAAGCAGCATACATTAAAGTCTGGTTTAACTGCAGGAACAAACAGAATGACCTTGCTCTATGCTGATGATAATATTCCCTAGTGGTGGCATGGCTGAGTGGTTAACATGTGGGACTAGTAATCTATGGACGAGTTCAAACCCCCGTCAAGGGCAAGCCGTTGTTTCCGTATGCAAGAAACTTTACACTTGTTGCTTATGGACCTTTCCAGTGTTTACAATTTTATGTAAATTGGCTAACTTGTTATCCAATCGCTACACTGATATAATACATAGTCACTGGTTGACCTGGTTTGCACAAAAGAGCACGTGCTTATGTTTGTGATACTGTTTGTGAGCAGTTGACCTAGCAATGAATGGAAAAGGTGTGGCTAAATGTTCCGCTACGAAAAACCAGAAAGGTTCATTGGTATTACTGGTTGGTTTCAGGAACAAATTTGAGACTGTTTCAATAAACTAAAAGCTTCCAACACAAACTAAAATATATTTGTAATATTTGTATTCCATTACAATTTTGATGTAAGTACTCTAGGTTGAGTGTAATATCATTACTGCTGACTCACGATTCTACACTTTACAAATTTCTCTTACCTCAAACTCACTTGATATTTAAAAATTACCTTTTATTCTTAACTTCATTTCGAATCTATAGATCAATTTGGACAAAACAGTTTGCTGTACATGTTTAGTGCTCAGATGTTAATTAATTAACAAACATTTTCCTAATTATGGATATGTTACAATGTTTTAACACACAAGCATAATTGCAAAACACACAATCAAATCAACAGGCAGATGGCCATGTAAAAATACAAAATAATTCAACACTCTTTTCAGTAAGAGGCACAAAGCACCACACTAAATTACATAAATAGTATTGATTTGAATTAAATATAAATTTTAAAATTTCAATCTTTTTGAAATACTGATTAGATAAAGAATTTTGGACAAACACTTAAAATCACTTTCCTTACACAAATATAACAAAAAATTTTCTTTTCACAAATCTTACAAAATCAAATATTAAGCTCTTCGTAATGCAAATAAAATCCATGTTTATGTACAAGATAGATTTCATATAATATGAACAATATTTAAAGTTTCCTTAACATGTTAACATTGCTTTTACATGATCTAATGTCATGTGACATATCTGCAACATTGAACATTTTCACTAATTAAATGACCTTGTTCGCAATTGGTCATTTTTTTCTAAAGAGATCAATAATATACTCGTAAATAATCAATAATAATGCAAAACCTTTTATAAAATAGTCAATAAATTAAATTTTACGGTTAAAGAGAATTGCCTAGAATTAGTTAATTATTTAAATAGCTAGCAAAGAAAAAAACAACTTCAACATCAAATAATATTATAAATTATGTTCAATGAACTAAAAGATATTAAACTAATAAGAAAATCACACAACAAAAAGCGTCAACTATTGCAACATTTCAAATCTTCCTAAATGAGGATCCTCCCCGAAGTGTGCGAGGACGTGCTGCTCGTAAGATTCCTGCGGTATTGTTACAGGGAACACGGCTTCACACATAGGGCAAGTTCTATCTTCCTCTTGAGGTTTCCCGCTAGCTGCTGGCTGGAGAGTCGCAGGCGATTCATCATTATTATCAAAACATTCAACTACGTGCATCTGAAACTGGTCTAAGGTCAAACGCGAACATTCCTCGTTACAAACTGGGCATATTTTAACTGCCGCCACATTAGTGTCACCTGTTTCCTCTTGAACTGGGTTGGTAATTATGTTAAAGCCACGCTCATTGGCTGTCGTAAAAACAGTATCTTCATGCTCCTCTATTGGACGTTTTGTTTCAGTTTGTGCATTTGCGTTATAAATATTTTCATAATCAGGTCCAATATCATATTGTTCTCTAAAGTCATTCTGATAAGCCTGCTCATTTGCACTCTGCTGCAGTAGATTTTGTCTAACTGCGGAGGTTTCCCCGTGTACAAAGTCATTTTGCCTATAATTACTAGTTGCTTGGGGTATTTCAAGGGTTCGCAAGGGGTCAAGGACAGATCGGGTCATTTGACTATTATCTAACCCTGGTCTATTTTTTACTATAATTTCCGACTGAGTCATTCTATCAGGAATTTTCTGTTGTGGTTTCAGTCTATCATCTAATGGAAATTCTTGACTTTCAAAGTGATTTGCATAACCGGTAGCTGTTAATTTTGTCGAAACTCTCGGTCTGGCCCCAGCTTGAACATAGGCTGTTTCTTGTGAATTTGACTGTAAGAATACTTGATTATTTGAAACACTAGGGGCATTACTTATACGAGGAGATTCTGTGAATCCTGTAGTGTAAGGTTCATGACCATTTCCATTTCTTGGACTAACGGAACTTCTTACATTTTGTTGGGCAAAAGTCGGCTGACTGCCTGAAACTGAAGGTCTTACAAACATATTGTCAGAACCTTTAGATCCTATATTATTATTAAATCTTGAATCATACGTATTTTCACCAGGACTTCTGTTTCTATTAGGACTTGTCGATGACTGGAAAGCTCCGGCTGATTCCAATGGTTTACGATCCATGTGTGATTCCATGGCAACCATGTGTGTTAATTGTCCAGTAGGTCGTAATTTATCTTCAACTCTCGGACTTGTTTTTGGTCCTTGACTTCTATAGTCTCCCTTATCACTTTGCCGTCTCGACAACGGAGAATGAACAAATTGTGTATTTTGATGTAAATCAGAATGATTCTCATATACATGTTCCTGATAAGGATTAAAAGAAGACCCTTGAGCTTCTGGTCGAATTGTAGACACATCAAGTGACTTTCCTTGGTGTTTTTTACCTGAAACATATATAAAAATCTTGAAAAGTTTTATATATATCGGAATATATATATGCCATTTTCCTAATAAAATGTGTATCAAGTGCAAAATAATATTTTCAATGTAATAATCTTTCCCATGTAATATTTTCCTTCATGATAAATCAGCTGATATGATAAATCAAATGAATTGACTTGTCCAACCTGAATGTTAATTAGCTAACTGTATTGTACACAGTATGGGACAAGCGCAACGAGTATTCATTATTAAGAGATAGATGACCCATATTATCTGTTACAATGCTGTATTTTAGCCTGTGTATCAAAATATGACGCTTGACCTCGGACAAAACTACTTTGACTTTGGATAAAGCAGATTGGAAGTATTTCAAATATGGTAGATAAAAAACTATATGCATGTGTATGTTAAATTAGTAATCTGTAGAACAAAATATATAAATGCTACACACATCATTTCTTTCAATTTACAATTACATTTATTGACATTTTAAAATTCAAGTAAATCTATTTCAGATTCAGTTTTTGACTTATATCCCAGATAAAATTTAAAGGTTTGTCTTAAAATTAAAATCAAAGGAAGCTGTCTGAATCTTAAAGCAGCACGCCTCCAGATTAATGCTTATTTTCATGAAAATTTTAAAAAGTACTTAAAAAGTAAAATGTTGTGAAAATAACAAGGAAAGTAATTAACACATTGCAAACAACGCTAACAATCAACATGAATTACCGAAAAGAGGCCAAATCAGCAAAATTGACCCTTACTGTGTTAGTAACACAGTAGAAATTTGGTAATAAATTCTGAAAATCTGTCATTTTAAGCACATAAAATGTACATTATTACTTAAATCTTTAATATTTCTAATGTTCTTAAAATCTTAGAACATTTTTCTCAAGTTTATTTTTCTTGAAATATTTTGGCTTATCTGGAGGCATGCAGCTTTAAGGTAAAAGTTATACTCTTAGGCTAAAATGTTTTTAAAGTATACTCTTGGGAAAAGAAAACTGACACACACCAAGGTAAATCCGTTTTAGGTTTTTTTTCCTGGCCGTTTTTGATGACTGATATTGGGTCATCCTCCCAATGCCCAAAAGTATGTGTTTTATTTCCCAAATTTAAAGCAGAAAATTCCCAGTTCAAGGAACAAAAAATAAAAGAAGTAAAATTATTGTCATTTTGTTACATTTAACTGCACTGTGCCATAGAAAATTGTAATATTGCATTCCTAATTGTAATAATTATTGTGCTTATGAGAGAAGTATAAAAGGTGTTTAATATATAACAAAATATTTGATTTCTTTGTCTTATTTGATTAATTTATACAGTATATTCTGGTGTTTCCCAATTTGTCTAAACCACAAAATTTCCCAATTCTGAGGGTCAGGTCATGTTCACAATGTGCTAAGGAAAACAGGTTAAAACCCTGTAGATATTTGAAATTGAATTTGGAGGAGTGATATAGTTCTTACATAATTCATTTTCCCTAGTTCCCAACTATGTATATCCAAATATTCAAGTGAATTTCTCATGTTTTTTTTTTTTAATCTACAGTGTACTTTGTAAAGTGATTACTGCAGCAGATTTACAGTCAAGCTCACCAAAAACCTTCATTATACGCCCCAGTCAAACTTTGGTTTGAATTTAATATAGGCAAAAAAAGTAAATACAACAATCCCCTAAATATTTTCAACAAACCTGTGCTTTGTATCTGTATAATAATTTTATGCTGTTCTTCAATTTTTCCTTTAAGTTCTTTAACCTCTTCTTGTTGTATACGAAGAATACCTAGAGCTTTTTTTAATGTTTCTACATCACCATCTACATCATCACTATCTTCTTGTTGTCTCTGTTCACTCCTTATATTACATTCTATTTCTAACTGTTTACATTTAGCTTCTAATACACCTTTACTCTCCTCTGATTCTTTTAACTTTCGTTCAAGTTCTCGAAATTGTGACGCTGAGTAGGACTTTCTTAAGTCACTTTCAAGTTGGGTTAACTTCAGTTTTAAATTCTGTACTTCACTTTGACCAGAATACCCAGTTCTTTGCAAAGTATCAATCTGTTCTTGAGATGATTCAAGTTTAAGTTTCAAATTATGGTTAAGTTCTTGTTCTGACTGTAGGGCATTTTTCATTTGTGCAATTTCTAAATTCTTTCTGCCTACTTCGTCATTCAAATTTTTTAATGTTTCAGACATTTCTACATTATCTGAGTGGAATTCTTCATTCTTTCTAAGTAGTTTTTTTACTTTCTCTTCTAACATTTCGTTGTTGTTTTTAAGTATTAAGATTTCTTCATTTCCTTTCTGTACAGCATTTGTGGTAATCAAAAGTTCTCTTTCTAAATGAGAAACATGTCCCTGTATAGCTCTATTTTCAGCCAGGGATTCATCCTCGCTGGTTCCCCCTGCTGCGTGAGCAACCTGCGTATCATACATATCCTGATTCTCATATCTCGGCTGGTTCCCCTGAGTTGCATCCATCAGAGCTTTTTTCATTGACTGATTCTCCCTTATCAATTTCTTATTCTTTTGCACCTCATCATTATGTATTTTCTGTAAGGAAGTAAAAGCTGTTTGAAGAGCAAGTATCGGAGCCTGATCAATGCTTTCGTCAGAATATCTCGCTCGTTTTATGACATCTAATGGGTTTAAACTAGAGTCTAGCTGACTAGTTGTACTATCTTCCCTATTTTCGTCTGGCGACTGTTTCAACAATTCAATATCGTCATTATAACTGTCCATAGCAATATAAATAATCCATTACCTGAAAGGTATAACAATAAATAATTAATTGTTATATGATAATATCAATTATCTAAATGATCTTAGTATTAAGTTAATAGTTAGTCACTGGAAATATTTAAACTATGATGCAGAGTAGGAGCAAACTTTTCTAAAAAATTCTAAAAGCTCTAAGCCATTTTTAGTCTTAAAAATTTATGTTGATGTGCAATCTTTGCAAAATGTCTTAAAGCGGCCTTGGTTAGATATATTATTTTTAGAGAAACAGTTTCATATAATTGTCAAATCAAAAGAATTAAGGTGCAAAATTAAATTTGCCATCAATAAAATATGTAAACAATAAGGAAACCCCTCAATATCTCTAATCTACCAGTCTGTTCTCTGTTATGTTAATAAGTTAAGTAGATGATTCGTTTCCTGATCTTCTCTTTCTAGAAACGAACGTCACTGGCACTCTATAAATAGCACTCTGGACGATGTTTTGAAGAAGGAAAAACAATGATATGATGCACTTTTTCAAAATAAAATCACTGAAATTTACTGAAATACCAAGTTCGAAACAACACAGGGTATTTTTCCAACAAAAATAATAAAATCTGAAGGCTACTTTAAACATTTACCATGGACAATCGTTTTTTCACCTACATCCTCATCTAGTATCAGAGGCCTCTTCTAGTTGGGAAGGTTCTTTTTTTAATCAAAGAGATATGGGCTAGTGAATGCGGGTTAGATGTCTATAAATTCCTCAAGTAAGTGGTATAAAAAGGTTTGAGACCTACATTTTGTACTTCAGTCATGAGGCCAAGAAAACAAAAGTTTTGCTCCTGGTCTCTAACAAGACAACAGAGTTGAACAGATGGTAGATATTTCTTTTTAGTTTTTAAATATGTTTATTTTAAAAATTAATATTGACAGATGAAACAAGAGTACGTAAGAAGTCCCAAAACAGAATATTTTGTGCCCAATATGACAGTGATTCTCCAGTAGATACTTGTTATTGTTTTGCACTATTGACCTGAGACTCAGTAATTGCCACGAGGTTTTTGTTAGTTTCCATTATTTAATTATACACATTAATAAATAATGTTATAGGCTAAAACATTGTGGTCAAATTCAGCAGAGTATCATTTAAATCCATAAAGAAAATACAAAAAAAAAATTTGATTTAAAACTAAATCTTCAATAAAAACTAAAGATCTTGCGCCTTGTCACTAAGGCTAGTAAATCAATAATTATTACAGTAACACAGTTAATTGGTATTTCTAAAATATATATATACCGTTGTTTATTTGAATTCCACAAGTGTTTAAACTTATCATAATTACAACCTACATAGTAACCTAAAATATAATCCTTTACATTTGTAATTTATATACAGTATACAACTGAATTATGCACATGTATAAAAAGTTCTTTCAACATACTTATTAATAAATGATTAAATCATCTTAAATAAGCCACCATTTGATCATCACTCGGCCTATCTGCAAGGGTGGTCTTAACACGCATGTATTTGGTTACCCACTTGGTGACTGACTAAAATATGTAAGCGGGATTCCAAGGGTCCAGTACAGAAATTTAACCACATAACAGTACAGCGTCAAAGTTTTAGAGGTGTGTCCGTCAATGTTAAGAGCTAAATTTAGATTTCAACTCGTATTACATAAAGTTATATACATGTACAAAAGACTAATACTTTTGGGGATGGAGCTCTTATTTATACATAAGTCTTCTGGGACTAAAATAATCATACTCTGTTAAATAAACAGATAAATTAAACCAATAAATGATAAATCATGCCTCCAAATTTACCTGTGACTGTGTTTTTTCTCGGCTATTTATCAATATGTTACTCAAAGAATAATTTTATGGCATAAAGACTTAAATAAATAACGATATGAATTATATTTTTTTTTAATTCACACGTGTACCATACGTAATTGTTTACCAAAAAGCCCTTTTATATGGGGTTAAGCGTATCCGAAAAATGGAAATCCCACATCTTTTTTCTGGTTACCGTAACATTCTTTGTAAATTGATGCAAAACCGGAAACCAGTTGTGTATAATAAGGAAAAACAAGGGGATTCCCCACTTCTTAGCTATACTCCGTTGACAACGTATCGTTCCGTACATGAAAGAACCACTGCAGGAACTTGTTCCTAAAGACTATAGGTAAATGTTTATTCTTTTCATTTATCATACGTTCAATGCTCATATACATTATCATAACTGATTAAGTGCATTTCGAAATAAACCACATTTACTAAAACTTATCCACTTGACTTCAGTCGTCATTAGCTTTTTTATATGTTAACTAGAAGATCATTTACATATAATATGAAATTAGGTGCTACCTATGGCGCGGAAAGCTCTTATGATTTATGATTTAAGCATAACATGTTTAGTGTACATGTTAATCAGATCTATCATGCAATTCGTTGATAAGTAAATGCAGGTATTTTGTACCGTAAAGAGAAACTAATAAATTGGTGGTGTTCAACCTATCATCGGAAGATGGGACCACTGCGCATGCGTCGGCGTTTGGAAAATCCCGTCCGCCATTTTCTGTTAATCTCTAATCACATATGTTGTTTTTACGTTATTTTTAATGTGCTAATTTATTAAAAAGGATTTAGAAGTAACTTTTTACATTTATCATCGTAACTATTGTTCTTATGAGTGAAATGAATGTTTATTTTCTGATTTTGTACATCATTCTTTCACCGGAAGTGTTATTAAGCATGCGTCTGCTAGCAATAGTCTGAATTATGTAGACGCTCATTAAAAGCGCTGTGATATCTATATTTAGCTCAAAAGGATTTCAAAATGGCGGCACCCAGTTAACTAAGGATTTTTGGCTTGCGGCCACGGCCGCAAGACATTTGTTTTGGAAAAGTTGTTCCGGTTAGGTGGTTTTCTGCTTACATTTGTTAGTGCATGATTGAACGGGAAACCAGTCTATATTTCCGCTGCAATCGTGCCAATCGCAACTTTTCGGCCCTTTCCGTCACACTTCGGATTAATTATAATAGCCGAGGTAGTTCCGATTGCAATCGTGCCAATTCGGGCGATTCCGTCATACTGCGTAATACTACGGAAATCTTACTTCGGTAATCCAAGTTTGTTTATATAAATAGGATTTCTATTTTTACTTGATTTATCGGTTTAAAGCGTAAGTAGAAGGAAGAAATAAATTATAAACGACATTGTTCCGTTTCAATTCTTTTTCAAGTCACAAAAGTTAGTTTCTTTTAGTAGAAGGAAGAAATAAATTATAAACGACATTGTTCCGTTTCAATTCTTTTTCAAGTCACAAAAGTTAGTTTCTTTTATAATTGGTTTTTGTCTTTATTAGTTAAGTAGAGAATGGTTACTGTAGTTGTATTCCGTCTCCAACGGTCCTGCTGACTGATTCACACAGAATATTAGTGCATGATCGAGTTATATTTAGATCTACTGAGTCTTTTTCTAAAGTAGGGTGAGGTAATCTTAAAATAGCCCATGCATATCATTAACCTTACCACCTGCTGAGCTGATCTACAGATAGCGCATACTGTGTTGTCGGTATATCTGTGATCATAGATATTTTAGGTGTAACATAGTTGATACATGCTTATCAATTAATTGGTACCACGTAACGAGGTCTTTTAGTGCATTTACTTGTCTATAAAGGTGATATATAAATGAATTTAGCAACTGCCAAAACGAATGACACTCTCTGCGAACAAAAGTGGAACACTTGTTTCCTTTCAGTATGATGTATACTGTAGATCTCCACGCGATTGATTACTTTCTTTATTAGTTTCATACAATAGAGAAAAGATTTCAAATCATTCTTTACAAAAATATTCGTTTTTACAAAAAAAGTTGTTATCGTCAGCATATTTCTGTTCAGTTATATTCAGTGGACTTCTGGTCCTTCTTTTGTCCGAATTTGCATGCATAACACTGGTGCTCAAACAAATGGACACAGGTGCTCGTCCAATCTTGGGCTTACCCTTCCTATCCCTTTAAAAGTGAAACTTTTTTTTTTTTTTCAAAAAAAAATAAAACAACAACAAAAACTAAATAAACCCTTTATGATATACAAATGCCGTAATTCAAAAAAAAATTGTGATAGTAAATTGAAACAAATTTTTTGTTAAAGGGATAGGATGATGGCACAACTGAGCAAGCCTTTCCTTTTAAAAGGAAACTTTATTTCAGAGCTCATTAGGTATAGGATATATATTTTTTTGAAATTTTCATTTACTTTTAATTTGATTTCATTTAAATTGATACGCGTCATACATGTTATCTAAGAGCGCTACAGCCCTCGCGGGGCCTTCGGCCCCGCTCGGACTTTCCGCGTATTATTGTTTTAAAGAATGATTTTGAATGATTACAAGTGTGCTTTGGATTGGGTTGTATAATGACTACAGTGCAATCGATTAAATAAATGTAACTGAAACCTATATAGGCATACACAAAACCAGGAACGTATAATATGAAAAAGGCAAAGCCTCAAAGCGAGCTCGATGTACTTTTTACGAATAATCGCTCATTTTTATTTAAAATGCAGTAACGAGTGCGTGTGACGTCACACGTACTGTGTTAATGACTCCGCCCCTGTCGTGAAATGAATAACGAGTTTTGAAAACGTTGATAAAACTTTGTTTATTTTATTTCACTTTATAATTTTTCAAGCGAAATAAAGATTATTTAAAGTGAAATAAATGTAAAACTTAAAACGTTTGCGACATTAAAATAGCGTACTTGATTTGTTTGTTTTGCACGTGCTGTTTGGCGCTACATTGTGACGTCACGTAAACAATACTTTAAACGTCTGTACAGCGTTAACGACTGAATAAAAGATATTGGTGTTCGGATTCATTTTCTTAGTTAGACCATTTTCTTTCCTTCTAGATAGTTTTCACAACAAAATTCGACAAAAAAATTGTTTTTATTTATCAGATTTCAAACAAAATGGCGCCTTCGATTTTCATTTTTTTATACACAGCTTCCGTTATTCTGGTTCCCTGTTCAATTATGGTTCCCATAAACGTGCGCGGGTGACCAGTCTACACATCCGTTTTCAGTCAGAATTCCTCAGTTTTTATCGTTATCTTTAAATTCGAAAGGTTGCGATGTGTCCAATTCGGTACTTTGGACGAAAGTTTTCAAAACCATCACTTAGCAGGTACTCGCGTTACCGTAAAGCTTGCTTTGCGAGCAGGCCCTTCGGGCCAGCTCGTCGAGCTCGCTATTACATTTGTATACTCGTATGTTTATTATAATAATATCACTGACTTTCATTGACTTGTGAATGAATTAAAGTCCGTGATAATATACACTCGACAAAACTCTTGGAAGATTTATTGTCTCTCTCAAGTTCAATATATAAAATAAGCCAGAATTAGGTCAGTCGATGTGTAAACATAATCTTAAATTTATAGTACATTTGTATATATTTTAATTCCATAGCAATAACTGATACATGTCATAAAGAATTAACCAAGGTCTTTCAAATTTCTATTTCTATTTGAAAGACCTTGAAAGAACTAAAGTTTACTATGCCATCGACTTTTATTATTTCACGGCTACACATGGACACGTGCACATACGTATCTATGTATATTTGCAGGGCGCCGGATTTATAGCGGAACGTTGATTTTCTTTCTTCTTTCAATTCTAGAGATATAGATGATCAATTCAATATGATATGCGTGGGTCCCTGCTACCATCTTGTAAGACAACGTTACATTGATAGATATTATTATGAAAGACCATCTAGATCTATGTTTAAACTTACTCAACTGCTTTCAACAAGTAATGAAAATATGTTGACTGACTTAGTTTGATTTTAAAAATAGGCATAATTAATCTATTGGCAAAATGATGCTCAATTTATTGTGTACGCAAAGAACTTCATGTTTAAAGACACTGGTAAATATTCTATACCTTCTTTTGTCATATGTACAACAGTTACTGTTATTTTCAATATTGTATATATTATTATATTGTTTGACTTTGACACAATTATGTATAATCATGCTATGGATGAGGCGTAGAATACTCAAATCTAAAAAAAATAAAATTCATGTTCCATTTTGTTCTTTTAATTGAAAGCTCTAGAATCTACAACATGCGTTATGAAGTTTATCATCGAAATCAATAATAAGTGGTCCATTAGACCAGAAAAAACCAATTATGTGTATTTATGTCATTATAGATCATTATTATGGTACTAATTAAATTGATAATACATGCATGTACATACGTTCCCTATCAATTTAAATAGAACTTTATACATTTATGGATCATGGGATAAGCAAATGTCCATTTTAGCATTATCTTGTACTATCATATGACATGATTCACTTATTATATTTAAGCTTTAATTACGTACATAGTGCAAAACTCAGTCACTAGATCGAGTGAGTGGTGAGTTCACGGACTTAAAGTCCGTGATCTTTTTAAATGAAGATAGAATGTTGTACAAAAACCCGTTTCATAGCTGCCTATCTATAAAATTTCTTCTTCTTTTTTCCTTTTTTTTTCTTTTCTTTTTTTTTTTTAAATATTTTTATTTTCGTCGCATTGCTTTCTTAATTGTTTAGGACACAGTTATCATATTAACTTTAGGACGAACCACAGATTTTTGTTTGATGGCACAAAATACTGTAGACTACATGATTACCACGTCTGCAGATTTAACTTCAAAATAATTCACTATCTTACTTTAGCCGGTGCTGAGCGGGATGTTGTTTAAACAATAGCATGGCCTTCATGGACAGATTCCGACAATTTTCTTATTTTTAATCTATTAATGCTGAACAGTGTTTAGTTTTATAGTAAGAATGTAAATCAATTTATGAAAGGACTTTAAATCCCGGGCGAAGGTAAGTTCTGTGTAAAAACTAGCAACAAAATCTTCTGTACAATTAGTAAAGCGATGGTTGTAAATGTAATTAGTAAAGTAATTCTTGAAAAAATAAATTGCCGATTTTTTAAACGATCATCGCTTTTTTCAAAGAACCTATGATCAGTGGTAAAACTATATTGACTGCCTTTGTTTAGCAGTAATTTCTTCGGATACAAGAATAGCTGAAAGTAAG